ATTCTATTGATAGAGTCTCCTCAGAAAAAAATGCCATCCCCATGTTCACAATGAGATCTGATTGAATTAATTTATTCCCCTGGGTAGAGGAGTCAGTTCCTTCGTTTAACCTTCATACTCCAATGTTTTCCATCTCAGAAATTTGTCCCTAAAATAAGTCTTCAATTACTGTTTCTATCACAAATATTTTTAACTTCTTTAGAAGGAACCTCAATAATTCTTGTGTTCAACTCTCTCCTTTTGTCTTTCATGTCTTTCATTTAAAAAATAATTTTTCATGCTTTCCCTTCATTCTTATAGTATAAATTTTATCTCTGGATGTAGATTTGAATTTTATTATTATATTTTGGGGGATCATTTCTTTTCTTACTCCTCTCCATTTTCATAGCATTCTGTTATTTTCCACCTTATCCTATTCTCCTCATATGTTTTTAATGATCAGAGCCTTATTTTCTTACACTTTGCTAAAAATACCAAAATAATCTAGAATTTTCTTTGGATCTTAATTATGTTTAGTGGTTTATTCTTACACTCAGTGTTTTAAAATAGGTTTTATGTTTCTGCCCTGATAACTCAAGTAAGAAATATTTCTTTATAGGTGATTACCAACAGATATGGTAAATGAAATGCCTTTAATCTCATTATTTGGCCCTTTGAATCTGATTGTATTCTAGTTTCAGATGTCACAATCTAGCACTCGCTCATTTAGTATTGTTGTGCCGAGCAGAACCCCAATGGCCACATTCTCTGGTCACCTAATGGATGATATCCTGAAAACCTGTGATTTCATGTATCCCTTCTACCAGGGCTTATCTCTCTTCAGCTCTACCTACTGCACTTTATCTGATAACATTACCTGGTTTGCTACTTAGTCTCCTCTATCCCCCATTTTATGCTTACATTTTTTGTAATGTGATAGTTATAATTGCTGATAATGTAGGCAAAAGTAGAATAAATAGGAGATAGAGAATAAATTCTACTAACCCCCAAATATAGCATTCTTAAAATAAATGGATGTGTTCTCAATATTCTAGTTGATAAGCATCTTCACTTGCTTACCAGGGAAATGAAAGTGGCAAGGAAATAAATAAAACCTCATACTTTCAGTGGTCCCTAACCTCCAAGCTGGCTCCCAATATTGGGTCTGTCTTGCCTTGTATAATTTCCTCCCGTACAGAATTAGAGTTGTCCTGGATGTGGAAGGAAAGTATGTAGGTTCAGAGGCTATGAAATTAAAGTCATGATTTCTTCTATTTTGCTTTTTTGATAAAATTTTTTTGATAAATTTTTGATAAAATTTTGATAAAATTTTGATAAAATCTTTTTTGATAAAATTTGTTTTGGGGAAAGTCAGCTTCTGTGCTGTAGGTACGTTCTGTGAAGAATCCCATGTTTGGAGGAACTGAGGTTTCCCAACAACAGCCAGTGCCAGTTTGACAGGCATGTAAATGAACCACCTTTGAAGCAAATTTTCCTCCTCTAGTCTAGTTTGGTTTAGGCTTCTCCAGGTACGTGTACCCCCATCTAACTACCTAACTACATATAACTGCCTTCAGAATTTCCAGTTGATTCACTCCCAAACCCTCACAGAAACTGTGAGAAACATTAAATGTTTATTTATTCTTATTTAAATTTATTTTTTGAGATAAAATTTGTGTTTCACACAATTTACCATTTTCACTATTTTAAAATGTACGATTCAGTGGTTTTTACTATATTCATGTTGTTGGGCAACCATCACTACTACCCATTTTCAGAAAACTTCCATCCCCCCGCAAATAAATCTTTTCTCTCCTAATTCCTACCACTTGTCACCCCTTGACAACTACTAATGTAGTTTATGTCTTTATGGATTTGCCCATTCTAAACATTTCATATAAATGGACTCATACAATATGTTGGATTTTGTGCCTGGCTTATTTTATTTAACATATTTTCATTTTTTGTGATTCAGTGTCATCATCTATTACAGAGGAATAATAATTACTACCCCATGGGGTTATGAGTATTCAATGAAACAAAACATGTAAAGTGCTTAACGCACCACTTTATTATTGCAAGCATCCTATTAAATGCAAGCTTGTCATAACCATGACAGTAATAATTATTATTATTGACTCGAAGAGGAGAGGGCTAGGGTTAGCAGAGAGGCCAAGTATGAAAAGTACCAAAAGCTATTCAAAAGATTTAGCAACTAGAAGTCACTGGTGATCCTGGTTAAGAGCTGTACCAGTGAATGATGGTGAAACTGTAGCTGTGCTGACAGATTGGGAAGTTAGGAAAAGAAAGCAGAAGGCAAGGGCATTGTCTCTGGAAGGAGAAACTTTGAAGGAGGGACAATTAGGCAATTACAACATGCCGTTTTCCTCTGTGTGCAATGGGTGAGGGGGTGCTGCCTTACAGAGATGGTATATCCAGTGACTCCCCAGACCTATGCAGGAGAATCAGTCTTTGCCTTCTTGGGTTAGTACATTTCTAACCCTTTCTTATAAGAAAAAAAAATTAAAAAATCCAAATTTCTATTTCTGGCTTCTCTGTAGTCTGTTAAATCACCACTTTAAATATTTAAAGGTTTCCAGCATACATAGCAAGCTGATGCAATAAATGCAAAAAAGGAAGCTGATCTATAAGAGGCAAGGGAAATTAGTAGAATTACTAATTCCCAGACCATGTAGGAATGAGTGGTGGAAACTTTGAACATTTAAGCCAATCAAAGATAAGCCAAAGATGGTGAATTTAGAGGTTTTAATATCACATATTAAATTGCAAACTCATTTAGCATGTGACCATCAATATGGGTAAAATGCAGAAGATGATGTTTATATTTTTCCTGAGCTAGTTAGAGGATTTATCTGTGTAGCAATAAGCTTTCCAAGCTGGAACAGTAGGGAAGAGGCTAGACTTTATAATTTATTATTGTTCCACTTACCATTGTATTTTGTGCCAGCAGTTACACTTTAGCTAAGATCTTTCTGAATAACTTCAGTTCATCAGTCAGAAGAATAATTTCTTAAGGGTAAGGGCCAAGAGTCCTGCTTCCCTCCAACTGAGCCAAATATTGCTCCCTTACCTTAAAGGGTGCTGGAAATATCACATGATATATGGTATCTGGACATTTGCAGAGCCAAGGAGATTCTCAGTTCTTGGGATGCTTATGGAAACTTTAATAAACTATTACTGTGAGGAAGTAGAAAGAGCCTGGACTAGTCACAAAGTCCAATATCAAATCCTGTTCTGTCACTTTCTGTGTGAACTGGGTTATTCAGGCTCTCTCTAACACCACATTTCCTCACCTGTGAAATGGAACTCTTATGTCAACCTCATAGATTGTTGCACAGATGAGATGAGATGCTATGAAGCAATCTGCAGCCACTGCAGCACAAGTTCGATTCCCATCCAGCCAGGCAGCTACCCACATAGCACAGCAGACCTCTCTTGACTCACCACTGCTCCCCTCAGCAGTGTACTTTGGTCAATCTGCCTGTTCTGTTCCCCACTCTGTCTCTAGTGAATCCTCTCACCCTGCTGTGCCTCTGGCCTGTACCGCGGTGCTTGTATAAATAAATAAATCTTAAAAAAAAAAAAGACTTCAATACTCAGAGCCTACTTCCTGATGTGCAAATTATACCCACAGACCAGGTGGTGTTGTGGAATAAATACTTTCTAAGTTTTCTTCTGAATATCCACCATCTAGATTAGGACGTTCTTTCCATATTGGGATACTGAGTCATACTTTTACTCATGGTAATTCACTAAGAAGCATTATTGTCAGTCATTAGAATTACTAGTAACTCCAAGTGATTCCCATGGAAGAATTTAGCAGCTAATGAAGTCATTCACAATAAATGAATTTGCTAACTAAAATGTGGTACAGTCTTATGAAGAAAAGAATTTCTTATAATTAGAATTAAAAGGAAGTATCATTCAGCTTCTGAGTTGTATGTGGGTGAATATTTGTTGATATCACAAATAAATCGAGTCTGTGAAGTAGGATTAAACATGAGCACAAGCCGTTTGGACATTAAAGGAAATGTGGAAGGCTGTGTTCTGATCGCTTCCCATTCTGAGATGCTGTTGAGTACTGCTGTCCTAAAATATAACTTTGCCTGCAAGGATCCTGCAGGCTAATTTCAGCCGCTGGGAAACTGCCCAATTTGTCATTGGATTTAAGGTACTCTGCCGTAGGCAATGACTGACAGACATCTGTCTCTGGATCTAGGGGGAGCTTGTACTGGGAACCATAGTCCCCAGCCCTCAAATGGAACCTAATGGAAAGTGATTAGTCATAGTTATAGGTCTAAATGTTTTTGTCAGACTAATTGTGGGACTTGGTTGTGAGATTTATACACACAGGGAAGAGTTCCCTAGACGATGCAGGGATCGATGTTGCTATAACTGGGACCAATGCCTTTATTGACACAGACTAGCAAGGAAATTACATATCTGGGGTTCCTACACATTGAGGTGTTCTGTCATATCATGGGGCCTCCTGTAATAGCTGTCAAGTTCTGTGGGTTTTGCAGTCAGCCAGACCCAAATTCAGTCCCTACCTGTGCAAGTTTTGGCAGGATTTTCTCTGGTAAAATGAGGGTAAAGATAGTACCTTCCTCATACAATGAAGGGGAGAATTAAATGACATAATGCATAGTGTATGCTTCATAAAGTGCTTTTCACATAGGGTGTCTTGAAATGTTATTATATTTATTATTGTTGTTATTAATAATAAAATCTGGGGCTCTGAGAAAGTTGCCCAAGGTCAGGCAGCTAACAACTGGCAGAGCAAAGGTAAGCACCCAAGTCTTTCTGCCTGTGATTATACCACATGTTGCAAAAGAGAAGTGACTGTGGTTATTGTGAGGGCACCTGTAGCAAAGACAGAATTTGCCTCCAAATGCTGTTGTGAAACAGTCATTTGTGAGCAGAATTTTGTCAGCTGACTCCAGAAGGCATTCAAAATCTGCCACATCCATCTTTCTTAATTCCCATCTTTCTTCCCACAGGCTGCCCTGCTGCTACAGAAAGACTCTACACCTGGTCTCCGGAGAACTCTTGAAACCAGTCAAACCTAAACAGACCTACATAGGAGTTGGAGTTAAAATTTAACAAAATAAATACTAAGCATTACCACAGGTTAGCTTCTTTATTTTGTTTGTCTTTTCTTTGTCTACACCATTCTCATACCTCATGTTGGAATGGTGTTCTGTGTGAGACACTCTCTTTCCAAATTCCAAATTGAGATTGGGACACAGGTGCCTCTGTTTTTTTTCCATCTCCCAAAATTTCTAGAGCTTTTCTTTTGCACAGCCCTTACTATGCTACCTGGAAAAGACGAAGTGAAGGTGAGAAGTGAAGGTGAGAAATGGAAGGGAGGGCCTATCACGGGGCGGGAGCTGAGGGTAGCGGTAAACTGAACTCTCCACATTTTACAGCCCAGTAGTAACACTGAGATCATCCACAAGTGTAATTGTCTGATTTTCATAGAGCCTTGAGAAGTCTCGTAAGAAATGAATTGGTGTTTTTCTAGACTGTCTGTGATGAGGTTACACCAGAATGGTCTGTTCAGAAGTGTTCTAGCCCAACTCTCTTTGTATTTTGTATTATTTACTTACTGTTGTGTAACAGGTTACTCCAAAATTTAGCAGACTGAGACTGAAAACATTTATTATTTTGCAATTTCTGTGGGTCAGGAATTTGGGGCAACTTAGATGTTCTTTGACCCACGGTTCTTTCATAAGGTGGCAGTCAAGCTATCAGCGGGGGCCGTATGCATCTCAAGACTTGACTGAAGAACCTGCTTCCAAACTCCCTTGCATAGTTACTGACAGGCCTCAGATGATCTGCTTCCAAGCTTACTCATACCTCTTCTTCACCAGTCTACCTACAACATGGCAGATGATTCCTGCAGGTGAGCAAACCAAGGGTAAGCAAAAGGGGAACCCAAGATGGAATTTTATAACCTAATATCGGAATCAACAATCTAGCACTTCTGCCATGTTCTGTTTATCAGGAGCAAGCCAATAAATAGGGCCCCACTCTAGCAAAGGAGATTACCCTAGGATTTGAGAGGATAGCGATACAATTCAGCAGGGATTATCAGACACCTTTTTAGAGAGGCTGTCTAGCACAGCCATCTTCACCTCTATAAATGCCTCTTGGGTTACAGGTCACAGTATAGATTTCTAAGATTAACCCCAATTCTTTGGTAGAAATGGTTATATGCATTTGATAAACTACCTATCTCAATTGAGTTTAGGCAAGTCTGCTGTGATGATGATGGCTTGTAAGGCCGTATAGTGGACACATCCTTCTAAGGCAGCCTGGTAATTATTTGCTTTCTGTTTGCTATTGAGGATGCATATTGGGATGTAATCATGGAAACTCCAATGAGTGGCTGCTGAGATGAACGACAAATACAGCAGGTTTCCCTATGATGATTCGTGTACTGGCATTACAGAAATTGTTCTAACCCCGAAAGTGCTTAAGCTCATTAGATCACAGATTAAGGTCAAGAAATCTGAATTGAACTCCAGTCCTGCTTCTAACTAGCTCTTTACATTGGACAATCATTTCCTCATTTGGAAACTATTAAGTTTAGACTGAATGATTTTGAAGGGCCCTTCCAGCTCTAACAGTCTGTGTTTCTTTGTTTATGGGTGTCTTTCTTCTTCATGAGCTTCATGTAAAACCAAGTAAATGATCTTGCTACAATCTTGTGTTGTTGGCACAAGTTGTTTGGATTGGATATTGTCTATCATTCAGCAGTTTTCTAGTTTCAGTTTATGGAAATTGCTTAAACACATTCTCACCAGTCTTGTATGGAAAAACAGTGACTATTTATTGAAATCTTAACCCAGGCTCATAAGTTGAGCACTTTATGGGCATTCTCACATAATCCTACTTACAATCCTATAAAGTAGATGCCTTTTTATTGGTTGATAGAAGAAGAAACCAAGTACTTAAAAGTAATTTCCGGAACAAGGTGATGATTAAGGTATGGCTTAAAGGAAGGTGGGTCCTAACACCACATACCATTTTCTGACAAGTTCCCTAAATGTGTGTTGCTGAGCAGAGATGGCCTGTCTTGGCCATTTGGAAATGCCTGTCTTGGCCTTGTGATTTTTTTCCCCCTTTTTGCTGTAATTTAAAAAAAATTCCTCATAGGCAGCAGTCCTTCTGCCCACTTGTGACTATGCAGGTGCTTCTTTTCACCAACTCTCTCCCTCTGCAGGGCAGCAGCTTTCTTGCCTGCCCCGTGACCTGTACCTGCCAGGGCTTCTCTTCACTGGCCTCCCTCAGCAGAGGCAGCTGTCCTCAATGCTACCTGCCTGCGACCAGGCAGGCCTCTCTCTTAGCAAATCTGTCCCTTTTGGGGCAGCTCCCTCTGTCCCTTTTGTCTGTGTAAGTGTCCTATATTCTTCTCTCCCTTTTATAATAAACCTGCCGTTTTGGATATAAAGAAAAATCTTCATGAATGTGCATCTATTTAAAAATGTTTCTTGTGTTTTGGTTAGTAAGAGAGCTGCGAAATGGAAATGCCTGTCTTGGCCCTTTTTAGCCCTCCTGGAGGGATAGCCATAGGTTTCTTGTTGCTGTTGCTGAAAGTTCTTTCAAAGCAGGCACGACTTTGAGATTGGTTTTTGTTGTTGTTGTATTTTTTTCCTTCTTTTCCTTTAGGCATTTAGTCACACAGCTAGAATTTAGAATTGAATTTGAGCACACTGTACAACAGTCTGCAGGAATCCCAGTGGGAGCCCCCTGGCAAAGTATATGTCTAGATCCTGGTGGTTCTTAGTTCATGCTTAGTTCATGTAACTTAGAAGCTGCTACACAAGCCAATCCCTGCTATGGGCTGATGGGAGGACATCAATCATTTTCAGTAGCTCTTGTTCCTAAGTAGCTGCTCTGGGAGTGAGCCCTTTGGAGTTGGAAGAAATACTGCTTTATGTAGCCATTGTTTGGCTGTTGCTATAAGGAAAATTTCCAAGAAGAAACCATTCCAAAGATTTTACTAGTTCAGAATGACTGCCCTAGAATGATCAAAGCTATAAAGTAAGTAGGCATAATCATTAATATTTATGGAGACTTTTGCAGAGGCTTTGTTTTTATCTAAGTAAGTTCTTTCATCTAGTTTGGGTGACAGGTACTATTATTATCTCCACCATGCAGATGATGTATGGAGATTTTAAGAGACTCATCCATTTGCAATCACATGGGTGGAACTGGAGGGGATTATACTAAGTGAAATAAATGAGGAGAAAGACAAATACCAGATGGTTTCACTCATATGAGAAACAAAACAAAGGACAGACAAAAACCAAACCAAAAAAAAAAAAACCAGAAACTAGAAATGTGACTATAGAATGGAGGTTACTCAAAAGGGAGGGTCAAGGAAAGGAAGCAGACCAGGGAAGGGGTCCAATAGCTTCCGGTGGTGGACCATAGATGCCTTGAGGGTAGCTGAAGATGTGTGAACCTGTACCTTGGGTCATATATACAGAGCTGTAAACCAATGTTATCTCTATTTAAAAAAATAATACAAACAAAAGCCAAGATACAATTCCTATAATGGGGTAAGCTGAACTAGAACCTAGGTCCTTCAGAATCCAAAATCAGTGTTCACATCATGACCTGCAAGTAAGTTAGGGCTTTTTAAAATTTTAACCCCCAAAATGTAGACCTGTTGCTCATGCTGAATTTCTAACGTATACAAAATTTAAAATTTTTATATTGATTGCATGTTGAAATGATTGGATTAAGGTATATCATTAAGATTAATCTCACGGGGCCTCCCTGGTGGCACAAAGGCTTAAGCAGCGCACTATGAAGCAATCCGAAGCCTCTGCAGCATGAGTTCAATCCCCGGCCGGCCAGGGAGCAACCCACATGGCCCAGCAAACCTCTCCTGTCTCACCCGCTGCTCCCCTCAGCAGTGTATTTCAGTCAGTCTGCCTGTTCTGTTCCCCACTCTGTCTCTGGTGAATCCTCTCACCCCCCCCCACACCTCTGGCCTGTATCCCAATATGCATCCCTGTATGCCTGTATCCCTGTATGCCTAAATGAATAAATCTTTAAAAAATGATTAATTTAAGTAGTTCAATATTTTAAAGATGAGTACTAGAAACTTTATTTTTTAAAAAAGATTTATTTGTTTGTTTGTTTATTTATTTATTTATACAAGTGCTGGGTACAGTCAGAAGCTCCCTCTCACGGGAGGGTGAGAGAATTCACCAGAGCCAGAGCGGGGAACAGAACAGGCAGAACGATGGACTACACTGCTGAGGGGAGCAGCGGGCGGCATGAGAGGTCTGAGCGCCATGTGGGACCCACGCCCGGCGGCCGGGGATCGGACTGGTGCTGCATAGGCTGCGGGCAGCTGGGCAGCTTTGCAGTCCAGCGCTCAACCCCTGCGCCACCAGGGGAGGCCCAAGTACTAGAAACTTTAAAATAACAAGTAATCCGTATTGTATTTCTACTGGACAGTGCTAGACATGAGTATAGGTAGATTTAATTGTAAAGGAAATGTATCTAGGAAAGTTGATTGAGTCCCAAACTTGGAAATCCTTGAAGAACATTTTTTAATCACTCTGAATGGGCCATATATTGCCCAGAGTTTATAGAAACACACAGTGTCTTCTCAAGCTTCATGACTTTCATATTGCACCGAACGCACAATTTTAACATATCAATAGCCACAATTGTCTGAGCCAGTCACCTTTTCCAGTGATGCTTGTTGTGTTTTATGAAGTGATTAAGTAGTTAGAAAAAAGCTACCGAGAATGGAGGGAAGGGAAGAAGAGGGCACAGTTTTGCAAGGGAATTATAAGACAATTGTGTAATTTCCAGCTAAAAGTGGTGAAAGTAAAGGCACTAAGTCATTAACCCAGGGTGCACTCTCTGGCAGGCCTTTGGCAAGAAGCATATATAATACCTACTTAAGTGGGTCACAGCCTAATTGTTAATTTCCTTTCATGGGGTTTGTTTCATTTTCTGTTGTCTGAGTTATTTCCAAGATGATGCTTTAAATAGCTGTGAAGGCATCCGTGGAGGCAGTCAAAATTTCCAGAGTGGTCATCATTAACTTTTTTGGTCAGTATTTCTCCACCTTCCAATGAGTTTTCAGCAGAATCTGAGCTATTTCCCTGGATTCCAACCAACAAGCTGTTATCAGAATTCTCCAGCCACCCCTGGATACCATTGCCAGTGAACTGGAAAGAATTGTGTAGGAGGAAATGCCAGCCTTGCTGAATCAGGCAACTTCTTCAACCCAAAATTATCGTGAATGCCTTCATGAGACCACAGGAGGTTCAGGCAGCACAGGCCCAGCTCCCTCTGATTGGCTCAGTCAAGGAAGGGCACTGTCCAGGGTAGTGAAATGTTCCATTTCAGTGCAGAGACGAGCCAGCAGAGGCAGGCTGAAACACAGGCAGCAGTGTGATTAGTGCCCTCTGAGTTCTGTGGTTTCTTTGATGTGGTTAGATTGTGGATGAAAAGTTAACCCTAGGTTCATACTTGCAATTTGCATCTAGTTTGCATGAGGCTGTGTGGTCAGATTGAATAGTCCCCCAAGTGACTCTAATTTGGAAGTTTAGTTGAAACAAGCTTTGTAGTCAAGTGCGTTAGAGTTGTGTAGTGATTTTACAAGTTAAGAGCTCAGATCTTTCTCAAATTCATTTCACCCGCCTGAATTTCAATCTGTAAAATGGGTTTATTCTACCTCCCTCTGGGGTTGTTGTCAAATTTAATTGAGATGTGTATGTCAAAACACCTAGCATCCAATACAAGGAATACAATAAATTAGTCCAAACTTTTCCTTTTAAAGCCTTGATATAAGTAGCTATTTCCCTGGTGAAAACAAAGTCCAACCTTTGGTAATAAAACTTACCCTAGCTTTTTATTTCC